CCCCAGGCATTTCCAGCCCACCCGGACAGGTGCACGGGGTGCACCGGGCAGGCAACTCGGGGGACAGGGACAGGGTCAGAGAACAGACTGGATGGGAAGGCGATTGGAGCCACCTCCATGGAGGGGCTGGGCTCCATCAGTGCATCGAAATGCTCGGCTTCGGTCTTCCCAGATGGAGAGCTTTCAGAAAATCCGACAAAATTGACAGTGCATAGAGGTCCGCTCGGAAATTAGATCCAAATCACATTGAAATCTGTAACTACCCTGGTTTATAAGAAGCAATGAGCAATGATCTCATTAATCAAGGGAAAGAGACGAGGAGGGGGAGGGGAAAGGCAGTGCTTTCTCATTTCAGGAAGGGGGAATCAAAACAACGAAACAATAGTCAGATGACACTCGATTTGAGTTGTATTCATTTGGGGAAAAAAAATTAAGCTATTTACTTTTTCAGATTTTCAGCTGTTTAGACTGTAATTGGGCTAGAAAAATACCAGTACTTGGGCAGGGCCCTGAGTTCCAACTGGGGATTGTTGGATTGTTGGACAGTATTTCACAAAAAAGGCAATGTTTTTTCTCTTTATTAGTTTGGCCAGTATCAAGGTCTAGTACTATGCTTTTTGTTTTTAAATTTTTCTGAGTTAATCATATATGGATAAAAATGCAGTTTCATGCATTGTATGCCTGTAAATCTAGGTATTCAGGAAGCTGAGATCTGAAGATTGTGGTTCAAAGCCAACCTAGACAGGAATGTCCATGAGACTGGTATCTCCAGTTAACCACCAAAAAGTCAGAAATAGAGCTATGCCTTAAGCTGTGGCTCAGATGGTAGAGCACTAACCTGGAGCAGAAGAAAACAATACCAAAAACAAACAAAAATCTAAGAAACAGTACCAAAAGTTCAAGATTTACTTATTCACAGATTTACTTATAAAATCAATAGTGGCATAGATCAAGTGTGAAACACAGCCACCCTCTCAGGAAAGGACCCAAACCCCAACCAGTTTTTCCTGAGGTAAACCCTACTCTGTTTTATTCTGTTTTTTTTTGGGGGGGGGGGAGTTGGTTGGTGGTGGTCTTGAACTCTGGGCTTGGACGCTGTCCCTGTGCTGTGTTCTTCAGCTCAAGGCAAATGCTCTACCATTTGAGCCACTGAACTACTTCTGGTTTGGAGATAAGTCGCATGGATTTTCCTGCCTCAGCTGGCTTTGAACAGTGATCCTCAGATCTCATGTCCTTGTTTTTTTGCACTATCACCACCAACCTAGATATGTGCCTCCAAACAATGAAGCTTATTCTTGCCTGTTTATAAACTTACCGCAAATGGAATACTGCATGACTTTGTTACTTATTTCTTTTGCTCATTGTCACATGTTTGAGAGTCCATGGAGAGTTTCCAGGTTCCAAGTGTTGCCAGGTAGCACATCCATCTTCGCATGAGTAAATCTCTAGTTAAGTCTACAAATACTGGGAAATCAGGTATGCCTTTCTTTTAGCTAAGTAAAGCCAAATTGTCTTCAGAACTTTTTTCAATAGCTAATGCCAGCAGCTCACACCTATAATCCTAACTGGGATTTGGAAGATTGTGGTTCCAAGCCAGACAGAGCAGAAAAGTTTGCTTGACTCCATCTCCAAAACAACCAACAAAAGCAGGGCATGAGACATGGCTCAAGTGGTGGAGTTTCAGCTCAACAAGCAAGTGAAGCTAGTGGAAGGCCCTGAGTTCAAGATCTGGAACTGGCAAAAACAAAACACAGCAATCTAGATCATAATATACCAAACCACAGTTAATTACTAAAGGATGATGACATCATTTGGGGTTTTTGTTTTTGGTGCCAGTCCTGGGACTTGAACTTGGGGCCTGAATGCTGTCCCCTGAGCTTTTATGCTCAAGGTTTAGCACTCTACCACTTTAAGCCATGGCTCCATTGCTGGCTTTTTGGTAATTAACTGGAAATAAGAATCTCATGGATAGCTGGGCACCTGTGGCTCACGCCTGTAATCCTAGCTACTCAGGAGGCTGA